TTAAGAACGTGATGCCTCGAGGTAAGATAATTTGCGTATTTAAATAATTCACAAACTATCTATTTTAGAATATACCCAAAACCTCTGCAAAGTGATTCAACACAGCCTGCTGGTTTCTTCTTTAGATTGATCTTTTTCATATGTGCCCTGAGACAACGTATGTTGTGACTTGGTGTTATGTAAATAAACTGAATTGAGTTTAATTGAATTGATTTCTTTAAAAGAATCTTGTTTTCTGATCATTTTTTGAGGTCTGAAAATGGTGCACCTTTTATAATTATCTGGTCATCTGTCATGTTTTGTCCATCAGATAAATGACAGAATGACGTCTAACCAGCCTCAGCAAGGTCATTGTGCACAATGTTTCTTTGTCGTATCATCTCCACTGCAGGTTCTGCTGCGACCCTGTTGTCTCCGCGCCACCGGAGCAGGTCGGCCAGCGCCTTCCTCATCTCCACGCTCCTCAGTCCGTACACCAGAGGGTTAACGCACGGGGGCACCAGCAGCAGTATCAGCAGGGACACGTGAAACCCCGCTGCTATGGCTGAGAGGGTGTGTTTGCAGCCCCCCTGGGTCTGAGAGGACAGCTCCGTCACGCCGGGACTCCGGGACTCCGGCAGGAAGTCCGAGGCCACTTTGATGAGGAGCGGCAGCAGCTGCAGGAAGAGCATCCCGAGGTAAAACATCACGGTTCTGCGCGCTGTGTGGTTCACCTCGTCGAACGGCTCCACGGCGTTGCTCGCGTTCTGGTACATCCTGTAGTAGGAGAAGGCGTGGGCCAGCAGGCACAGCAGCAGCGTGAAGGGGCCAAGGACTTTCCGGAAGATGGCAGGTGCGCGCGGGGAGCCCATGTGCTGCTCCATGATGTCCGGCTCGCACAGCAGCCCCATCACGACGTGGTGGTTCTCCTCTTCCTTCCCGCTGTGCAGCAGCAGGACTATGTTGGTGATCCCCATTGAGATGGAGTAGACCCAGATCAGGGCCAGGACTTTGCTCAGTCTCTCCCGGGTAACTATGACCAAGTACCGGAGCGCAAAACACACGTAAAGGTAGCGCTCCAACGCCATGCTGGTGATGGTGGAGAGGCTGGAGAAGATGCTGGCCGTTCCCACTATGTACTGGATGTAACACCAGGGGTTGCACGCCATCGTCTGCCCTCGGATCAGTGAGTAGATGACCGCAGGACCGAAGGTGGTGGTCTGCAGGAGGTCGCTCAGGATCAGGTTCTCACAGAGGATGAAGCGCGGCTGCCAGGACAGATCATCAGAACTTTCGATGAGGTACAGAGTGAGCGCGTTGACCACGAAGGAGAAGAGGGTGAGCGAAACAAAAACAACCGCCAGCACCGGAACCACCGGTTCGTAGGGGATTAACGCGTGGAAAAGGTAACCAGCCGTGTCCGCGCGCCCCGTTACGCGCAGCTCCGTCTGGTTGTCCTGATAGCTGCCGCACTCAGAGATGTTGAGTGACTCCATAACGTCCAACAGGTTGACTCAAGGAGACTGAAAAGCTCTGAGATGTTGCAACCAACTGCATGAGGACAGGATCAGTGAACAAGGTGCGTCTCAGTTTGCCTCCTTCCGTCTGCGTGATGCTGTTACCTGCCTGCGTGACCAGAGCCCGCAGCTCTTCACCAAACCTTGTGCCTTTGAAATAATAAGAAGGAAAACACAAGGGTCTTGGTACTGATGAACAATGAAGAACAATTTTTGGTGTTTAAAGTAGTAAGTGTGGTGCAGGGGTGTCACTAGGTTTTAAGGACAAGGGGGGCTTGGCCCCCAGGAGATGCACATAATTTTTATATATTATATACACTGCTCAAAAAAATAAAGGGAACACTTAAACAACGCACACTAACTCCCGATCTTAATCAATGAAATTTTCGCATTGAGTACTTTGTTCTGTACAGAGTTGAATGTGCTTCACAAAAGTTTGATTTACTTGGACTTAGCGTGCGTTGTTTAAGTGTTCCCTTTATTTTTTTGAGCAGTAGTGTTCCGTTTATTTTTTTGAGCAGTATATATACATACATACATATATACATACATACATATATACATATACACATATATACATACATACATACATACATACATACATACATA